GTGTGTGTGTGTGTTTGTGTGTGTACGCAAATATCATCATTCTACTATGGTCTTAACCTACATCCAAGCCCTGAAATGACATGATAGTATTGATAGTGCAATAAAACCCTAACAAAACAAGCAAACAATGAAACTTTTTGTTCGATTGTCACTCACCTTTTATTTATAAAAGAAGTCTGCGCTGTGATTTTTCCCCTCTGCGAATCGCTGTATCACTCGGCGGTTGAAATTAGAGGTGGCTTCAATTTCATCTTTGTGAATTGATAGTACAGCAAGAGCATTTAGACGATCTTGAGTCATGGAACTTCTCAAAAATGTTTTCACTCTCTTCAGAGTACTAAAGCATCGTTCAGGTTCAGCAGGTGTGACTGGGGTCGTCTAGATTATCTCCAGTAACTTGACTGTCTCTGAAAACGTTTTCATTAAGTTCGCTGTGACTAATGTATTGTACAGTTACAGTTGGACAGTTTGTATCTGAAAATGTTTCATTTTGAAACACCACTTTTAGCTCACTGAAAAGTTTGTCCTTTAATAGAAATGGATACTTTTCCACAATTGTGTCAATGTAGTGAATGGGGAATTTCACCTTGTACGACTCAAAATGCTTTAGGTCCAAGAGACAAAAGGCCGTGAGAAATGAATTTTCCAATAGTCGAGAGGTCAACTCAATAGTCAAAATATCGCACACCTCCACAGCAGCTGCTTTCAGATTGGCATGTCCTTGTTTCCTTCTCTTTGCTGTTTGCACTTGTAAATCTTGCAGTGAGTCTCTGAATTGTTCTCACAAAGTCCTCCACACATCTTGTTGCATCTGCCCCACTAGTAAGCCTACCTTGGAAGACATTGTACAGAACCTCAACATGTTTGAAAATATCACGAAAGAAGCTTAAAAGGTAGTAGAATGCTTCATCACAGAGAAGACGTCTAAGTCCGTAAGCTTCACGGACAGAAATATCATCCCAGGATTCAGGACACTCTATGATGTTATCAAAGCACGCAGAAAGGTCTTCTTGGACATCATGTACACTCTCAATGAGTCTGGTTTGAAAATTCCACTTTGTCTGATTAGGTCTGGGTAACCTTCTTGAGCACGCTTGCCTTAGAGCATCAGCACGTTTAGGGGAAGCTGAGAAAAATGACGCAAATCCTACGAGGTTTGTGAAGAACAAGCACACGTGCACGATGTGGTCGGTGAGTCGCTTCAGTACTAAATTGAACTGGTGAGCATAGCAATGCACGTAGTGTGCATGAGGATAGACACTTTTGACAAAGTTTGCACTCCCCTGGTGTTTCCACTCATATCTGCCGCCCCATCATAAGCTTAGGCAATTGGTTTTTCCTTGAGATTAAAAACGCTCAGTTCTTCTTTCAAAACCACCTCAAGCCCTGTAGCAGACCTGTCATTCACATCCACAAACTTTAAAACACGCTCCGCGGGAAGCTTGTTTTTTACAAAGCGCAATATAATCACAAACTGTGATTTACAAGAAATATCAGTTGTCTCGTCAGCTTCGATGGCAACAAACGACGCGTTGTTGATGTCCTTGTCTTCCATGTAAACTTCATAACAACAATCTAATAATTCATTTTGTGTTGTGCTAGAAGTATATTTCGCAACAGTTGCAGAACTGAGATGCTCATCTAACTGGCTGTCTAGAATTCCAAGAAGAGACAGAAAATCCAGAAATACACCTCTGTTTTTGGAAGATTCTGTTTCATCATGACCGCCAAGAGATAATTCATGCACTTCACAAAATTTGATTACATCAATGATTCTATTCAAAGTATGTCTATTTTTGTCCACTCGTGCGTTGTGACGTTGTATAGAAATGCCCACCGAGCTGTCTAGCAGCGTTGCTATTGACAATGTGCCGAAAGTATTATAACGAACAACACAGTTCAAATGGCGTTCACTGTGTTCGTGCTTTGTTGCTGCCCTGGTAAAATGATTGAGATCACTGTAGCCGATTGATGACCAAACCTTGTCAGTGTCCGATCGATCAGTAAAAAGCAGACAATGGAAACAGTACAATTTCTTTTTAGACAAGCTCACCGTAAGCCATGCATACTTATCATATCACGTACAGGAAAAAGAGCGAACATTGTTCTTGAGCTCAAATCTAACTGTAGCCTGCTGAATGGCGCAAGAAGCAAAGAGTCAAGACGTGATTCATCTAGATCTAGCCTAGATTTTTAGAGAAAGTCATAATCCGCAGGATATCCCGTAATCTACATTTATCGATATTTACAACAGTTTCTAGATGAAACCGCATAAAAGCTGCAATAAAGTGAAACAATACAAACAACTCACTGTGCTCACAATCTGAGAAGATTTAAAGTAAATATCTCTAATTACTTCGTGCAGCACCAACAACCAGACTCAAATTGAAGATTTAGCTTTAACAGGACTTGCTACAGTACAGGGAGACAACAGTTTCGATACCAGCCAAGGCCAAAGCGAGCGGAAACTTGGGATCAAAATTTTAGCTTGCACCAAATTGGTGCTGCGAAGAGCAGTTTCATGCGCCTTTCTTCCTGTGCGCGAAGAGCGATACCTAGATTTCTCTACAGTGACAAAAATAACTTTGGTGCAAAGATTTTGCTTACTCCCAGCAGACACCACCGCAAGCGGTGCGACGAGCTTAAACCATCCTCGCTGTCTGTCTCTTCACTGGCGCAGCCAGCGGGTGACGGACCGCAAGGAATTAGTAATGTATAGAGGTGTGCGAGTCCAGCATATTAAGATTCGAGTCCAGACTCGAGTATCTGCTCTGGACTCGAGTAATTACTCGAGTAATTACTCGAGTCCCACGGCTCTTAAGACTCGAGTTATTACTCGAGTAATAGTATCCCGAAAGGGAATTTTAGTGGGTTTCAAAAAAAGTTTTGTTGAATATCGGACAGAAAATAGAGTGCCTTCCTAGGAGGGAGCTTGAGTTGGCTTATGGCAATTCTAGACATATGCTGTTTATACCGTATTTATTTTATTTTATCTTAGGAAGTGGCTATTCTCACCCCAGGTGAGAATAAAAATGTGATCAACCTCTCACCCCGGGTGAGACTAGCCAGTGTTGGCTATTCTCACCCGCTGTGAAACAAAACCAGGTGTTCCTAATTTCTGAATACTTCCTAACGGTGAGGATGATTAAATAGACAAACCCCTTTAAAAAAAAAATGATATTATAACACAAAAGTAAAACTAATTTGGTGGTCTACAATGATGCTACGGCTGTTTCACTTTTAGAATAGAGCCGAACTACCCTAATCGGCATTTTGTTTTGCCCAGAAGTTCTCGCTATATCTAGGCTACTCCTCTCTCTCTCTCTCTCTCTCTCTCTCTCTCTCTCTCTCTCTCTCTCTCTCTTTCAATGCCCGAAGATAAAATTGCATGTTTTTAACACAAGAGGACTGGAACGTTTGTTTACACGACAGAATTCAATTTTTTTTAAAGTGTAGATCTAGAATTCTGTGATTTACACTGGGTATCACATCACGGTAAACGCACACATGAAGAGAATAGCCAAAAGGCTCGCTCTCTCACCCCGGGTGAGTGAGAAGCTTACAACTGTATAACAAGTAAGCTAGAATAGAGGTAGTCTTCATCTTATCTTATCTTATTTTTTATTTTTTTAAAATAATTCTTTGTTACAACAGTAAGAATAAAATGTACACAAACCTCAGACAATGCACTTCATAAAAGAAAGAAGTTTGATTGGTCATCGTAGGTTTCTAACAGTGGTTTCCTTTTTGCTTTTTTCGGGGGGGGGTTCGGTTTTTTCCTTTGGGGAAGGGGTATTTTTGGGGGTTTTTGTTCCTTTTCCTTCAGTTTAAAAAAATTGCTTATCAGAATTTTTCTTTTATCAATTCTTAACTTTTTAAAAAACCAAATTTTTCTCCTTTTTTCTGTTTTCCCCCTACAGACTCGAGTCTGGACTCGAGTCCTTACTCGAGTCCTTACTCGAGTAATTTACTTGTGACTCGAGTCTGGACTCGCCGCATGTATTACTCGAGTACTCGAGCCTGGACTCGTTACTCGCACACCTCTAGTAATGTAGATCTAGAACACGACTGGTTTAGAACAATTAGAAAAAAGGGGGTATGAAGGCCAGGGTTAGGTGGAGCGCTTGCACCAAATGCACCAAATGCACCAATGGCGCCCCGCCACTAACTTAAGTATTTCAGCCACGCTCACTGTGCCGACCTCTGCTACTCCAGACGAAAGAGACACATAGATAGAAGGAAAAAAAGGAAAAGAAAACGTACTTACTACGGCAAAAACATATTGGTTAAAAATAACCACTCCCATTTTCAAACTAGTTCAACAAAGATACGTTTCTAGACTTCCATACCTTGAAACCATCTTTCTTCACCCCCCTCCCCCAACCCCGCTCAGGAAAAAGGAATTTGCAAAGCCTGTACATCGGTTGATACCTGCCCCAAATATATATTATAGTGTACTTAAAGTGTTAAAGATATTGCAGACAAAACACCTTTATCGTAGTGGAAAGCTTGACATGAATATCTAGACGTGATTTACCATTGAAACAACGCAGAGAAGCGCAACCAATCGACCTACTTGCTATGTTAATTGACCCACTAAAATTGGTCTCGTGCACACAGCGCGTGAAGAGACGCTTAAGTCTTTCATGGCAGGAAAGACGCACGTTTCTTACAAGTCTTGACGTCATCCCACCTCTGAATGTGAATAATGGCGTAGGCGTAGCATCAAAATGTTCTTTGCACCGAATGCATGAACATGTTCGTGGCCGTATTCTGTCTGTCACGATGAGTGGCTGCTTTACAGTGTACTTTCAAGCCACCCTTCCCCTTTTTCACCCCCCCCCCCCCCCCCCCCCACCTTCGTTTTTACTTCTACCTCTACTTACACTTCCACACCCATGTCACGATTGACTTCATGCATTTGACCTACTACTCCAATTTTGTTCCGAACGTTCGGTTTGTACCGTTCTCAGAGTGAATGAAAATGCCAGAGCATAAATTTTAAAGAACATGCCTAATACTAATACCGCAGTTTGGTAGTGCCACTTTTCGACTACATGCCTAGTGTGACGAATCGTTTTAGCTCCATACAAGCAATAATTGCAGTTATGATTTTCATTTCACACACATAAATACAGAGAGAGAGAGAGAGAGAGAGAGAGAGAGAGAGAGAGAGAGAGAGAGAGAGAGAGAGAGAGAGAGAGAGGGCGGAGAGAGAGAGAGAGAGAGAGAGAGAGAGAGAGAGAGAGAGAGAGAGAGAGAGAGAGAGAGATTCCATTTACATAATTACTAGATTATGTTAAAATACAGAATGACGAGCGAAGCACATCATTCCAAGACAAGACGGTCCGAAGCATCAGACTATCTCCTAGTTCTTTAGTGTGTCACAAACTGAAACAGGCGTACATCGCAAAAGTATACAAACTGTGCACATATTATATTGAAGTGTAAGGCATGGCAGAAATACAAGGTAAGAGACTGCACACGTTCAGATTTGCAAAAAGGTTAAAAAGTAGTATATGGTCGTGTGATAGGGTTGTTATTGTTCTGATCTGATTTTTTTTTCTTTTTTTCTCTTTTCGTAAAGGTTTTCCACAGCTTCTTGACAATTCATTTGCACGAAATTGGGCATTTAGACGAGTGATTTGAACTACTGAAGTCCGTTTTCGTCAAGCACAATTTGTTATTATTATTATCATTATATTATCATCATCGTCGTCGTCGTCGTTATTATTATTATTATTATTATTATTATTATTATTATTATTATTATTATTATTATTATTATCATTCTTATCATTATTTTTTAAATTATTGTTATTGTTATTATTATTATTTGTGTACGTAGCCTATGCTTACCAATAAATTAAAGGCCGGCACTATTTCTCCGAACGTTCGGGAAAATAAAGCTGGGCACTATTTCTCCGAACGTTCGGGAAAATAAAGCTAGGCACTATTTCTCCGAACGTTCGGGAAAATAAAGCTGGGCACTATTTCTCCGAACACTCTGAAATCTCATCCTTTCCCGCAAATTTCGGATATTATATAGATCTATAATTATAATTTAGGCCTACCAAAGATTGTTCGTGTACAATATGGTTCTAGCGGTCCAAAAAATGTCCGCAGTAAATATTTATATAAAAAGAAATGCTACAATTCCAAACATTTTTCGCTACAGATATGATGTGTTGCCTATGAAGGGTGCTGCTCTTAAACGTAATGTGTTGTGTTCACTAGTGTGCTGTCTACATCTAGACATCTAAATTAAGATTTACGGAGGGTTATTGATAAAGACACATAGAACTGGCATCTGCGTTTGTCACTGCTGCGACCAATGTACTGACACTGGCAAGCCCCTTAATGTGTGTGATTCCATAATTTACATGTAATATCCTGTACTTTAAAAAAAAATTACCCACATTTAGGGTTAAAACAGCCAATCTTCTTCGGACAGGTGGACACGCGCCCTTATTTGTTAATGTTTGTTGTTGTTTTTGGGCTGTTCTAATTTTGATTTCTTTCTGTTTTAAAAACCTTTCTTTTTCACGTTTTTACACTCATCTAAAAATCTCTAGACTAGCTCTTGAAAACTTAAATAGATATAGACCCAAAAATTTGCTCGTGTGTGTGTGTGTGTGTGTGTGTGTATGTATGTGCGTGTGTGAGTGTGTCTGTGTGTGGTAGTAAGTGGAGAGTGAGGAGTATATGTGTGTGTGTGTGTGTGTGTGTGTGTGTGTGTGTGTTTGTTTGTTTTTCGGGCTTTATTTCAGCCTTTATTCAGTAACAGTTCAAAGTATACAAAAATATAAAACACAGGATCCATTCACTCCAGGGCTCATGAGTCGTTCGTCTCTTTCAGTTTCACTCATTCATTCAATTCCCATGTTCTCTCCCGCGGCTAATCCCTGTCCACATGACTTTCATACCCCATCCCCTCCCTTCAGGCACACACAAAGAAAATCTCACTCCTTCCCTTGCTCCCTGCGAACCATGGACAATAATATAGGCAAAACACTGCCTGGGCTGCATTCCTTTCGTTCGCGAGCTGTGGACCAGGCCAGGCGGGTCGGTGTCATCGTCTTGTAGTTTCTGTCGCCTGTGGATACACTCGCACATTCTTCCTTTCACCCGCTCTTTCACTCACACTGTCTCTCCATCCACAGCTCAGCTTGTCACACGTTCAAAAGTTGCCCACTGGTCATGTTTAGTTAGTGTGTGTACATGTGCATGATGATGGTGGGTGTTTGGTGAGTGTTACTGAAGGTTGTCTGTAGGCGGGCTTGCCATGCGGTGTTCCTTCCCAGACCAGAGGCAGAATGAAAGTTGGCGCCGAACTCTCGCAATAAAAAGGCAAAAAATCACGAGACCAGAAGCCGGATACCGTTCGGAGAAATAAAGATCGGCACTATTTCTCCGAACGTTCGGAGAAATAGTCACTTCGTAAATTAAATGCATTCTTTTACGACACTTGCAAAAACAAAAAAACGAAAAAACCCTATCGCTTTTCCCGATATGACTAGTCCATAATAATATGTTTTGGTGTTTCATCTTTAAACCTTGCCTTATAGATTATTTTGTCTAAAAGAATAATATTACAGACTCACCCCAGGCTGTAGTGGGGCCAAGATGAGGCTACCCCTTTCCACGCAATTAATTTTAAGATCACGCAGCGGCAGATACGTATCAACGATATATCAATGATACTTAGAACAAAGAAAGAAAGATACTATAACTAAAGAAGTTTTTTGTTGTTTTTTTTACAATCAAGTATAAAGCTAGTGTCAAAATAAACATTATTACATGCATCTGTATAACTCTAAAGGTCTTGTGATATATTCTTTCATATGGTCGAATGATGCACTTGAAAGCATTTGTACATTATTGTCGTTTTTACTTTCCTTTTCATATTGAATTTTAATTAGAATAATATATAATTTAAATTCATAAGTATACCTACACATTGTGTTTTTACGGTTTTTACGGTCCTGTAAAGCCAATAAAAATTTCCCTCTGGGACGATAAGGAATTATCTTATCGTATCGTATCGTATCGCATTGCATTGCATCTTATCTTATCTTACCTTACCTTATCTTATCTTACATATTCTTATCTTATCTTATCTTATCTTATCTTATCTTATCTTATCTTATCTTATCTTATCTTATCTTATCTTATCTTATCTTATCTTATCTTAGCTTAGTTGATCTTATGATTGATCATAAAGAATGTGGAACTGAACTATTATAAAGTGGTAGGCTCTACCAAATTAATAAATTGTGAGCTTTTTTTCAGAAAATGGAAATTTCGAGAACACGAGAAACAAGGATACCCCTTGGTCAAATGTTCCTGTTCTAGAGAAAGCGCGAGAAAAACTGGCACCGTTGAGCTTCGAGGTGTTTGATGGTATTCCTTACTTCAGCTACCAATGTGTCCGAGATTTCAGTCGGATGTTTGAAGACATCGACAATGCGGAACTCAGAGACGATGACGTCATCACAGTTGGTTTTCCAAGGTATATATATATATATATATATATATATATCATTCCCTTGCTCCTTGCGAACCATGGACAATAATATAGGCAAAACACTGCCTGAGCTGCATTCCTTTCGTTCGCGAGCTGTGGACCAGGCCATATATATATATATATACACACACACACACAAACGTGACGCGCCTTTTTTCCCTTCATGATCTTTCTTATCAACCTAAGGCCGGGAGTCCACCAAACCAGAAACTGACCGACCGTTAGTCGTCTGTCTTTCGGTAAATCGGTAGTTGGTATAAAGCACATGTTTTTAACTTTGTCATCCGCCAAAATTCCCTTTGTTTGTGTCCACCAAAAATGATATAGCTCTTCCCGACTAATGCTGGGCAGTTTGGTGACTTGTTAGAAATAATTCCTGCAAAAGCTAAAAACAATAATTTAAAAAATTAACGTTCGGATGAAATATGTAACATCAAATTCGTCATAAGCGCTTTAAAATTAGCAGTCTGCAAGCAAACCACAATTGTATTAATGGGAAAAGAACGACCATGTGACCATTTCTGGTTTGGTGGACACGCGATCTTACTCTTTGGGAGAAAGAAAATAATATTCTAAAAGCACGGCGAACAAAACAAGCTTGACAGGGGAAAACTGCGGAGTTTCAAATTTGGTTTTCTGCATCAGGAGCACATTAGAAAATGTGTTATCTTAGCTGTCATTGTGATTATGTCAGACCCTATACTCGCAACCGTAAGGTTGTGGGTTCAAATCCCTTCAAGGGCCTGAAGTTGTGTCCTTGGAAAAGACACTTTAAACAAATTTCCCTAATTCATTCAGATTGGAATGGGTACCCAGCTATATACAACGAAAGATTTTGTCAGGTTGTTAGTGTTTGAGCGCGTGCAATCGCCAACTTGCGCTGTACGGTTTCCGAGAGCCGAGAATTTTGCTGAGTGTTTTAGGGTCTGGTGGGACGGTCATACTTGTAAAGAGCATAGGGCATGCTGTAAGACGTGGATATGTACTATTATTATTATTATTATTATTATTATTATTATTATTATTATTATTATTATTACTATTTTATTATTATTATTATTATTATTATTATTATTATTATTATTATTAGTATTATTATTGTTGTTGTTGTTGTTATTATTATTATTATTATTATTATTATTATTATTAGTATTATTGTTGTTGTTGTTGTTATTATTATTATTATTATTATTATTATTATTATTATTATTATTATTGATTGTATCCAGGTCTGGCAACCACTGGACATTCGAGGTGCTTACCATGATCCAACAACAGAGCACAGATTTCGCCAAAGATTACTACTATAGGCGAGTCATGGAATGTATTGGGGACACCATCACGGAGAAGTTGAGCAGCTTCCCCTCACCGAGAATACTCGCTCTCCACACGAGGATGTCTCGCCTGCCCAAGAAGACGGTGGAGAAGAAGGTCAAGGTTGTATACATCTTGAGAAACCCCAAGGACGTCCTTGTCTCCTGGTACCGTTTGTCCTATGCTGCCAAACTGCCTGAGAACGGATTTCGCGGAACATGGGAGGAGTTTTATGAACTGCAGGTAAGATAATATGTGAGGCATCGTGGTGAAATCAGGCGCTCGTCAAAATAATGAAATCAAAGAAAACGGCTTTTTTCTTCCTGTTTGGCAATTTTTATGGAATTTTTGTTTTTTGTCTCAACAACTTTTACGTACGTTTAGAAACATAATACCATGTGAATTTTACTGAAAAAAACGTATATTAAAGGAACAAAAAATTTTAATGTTCAGTTTCCATGGAGTCTCAGGCTATAGAAGTCACCAAACTTTGGCGGCCATTTTCTCGTTAAGTTTACCCCTGAAACCTGGCGACCCTGACTTTTATTCTCTTCTGACTTATTCTCTCAATCGTAAATATTTCGACTTCTTTTCGACATAGATGGATGTTGTTTTCACTAAAGGAAGGCAAATGAACAAGCTTTAAAAATGATGCCAATAACTCTACCTGTCCAAAAATTGACGAGCGTCTGATTCCACCGCGTCGTGACACATATAATAACAATAGTTTTACAGTACTCTATCTCATACGAGTATCTGCTCTGAGCGCTTTACGTCAATCACATGACAACTGAGCAATTCACACAATAAATAATATTTCTCAGTAACAAGAAAAACCAGTTCAACCACATAAAGAAGAACTTTCACAACTATAAATTGATTATATTTTTATTATATACGTAAGGACAGCGTGTTTTAAATGCTATATGACATGATAAAAGACAATAAATCTGCCGTTTTGAAAGTGGACCTCTTTGTCCATCAACATTAGAAACGACAGTTAAGGTCTTGTTGAGATCTTCAATTGGAACTTATTCGACTTACGAGGTACGCCCTATGTCTCCACTGTCTGTTGGGCCAACATAGGGGTAGTCATGGCGCTAAAGTTGATTTCAGCCTATTCCAAGAAGGAACCTTTACCGAAACGACTTGAAGGAGTTTAAAGCGTGTGGTGAAAATATTCAGGGTCATATCTTGAATAGTAGCTGGACCTTCGTTTTCAAAGTTGCTTGACCTTCTTTTCTTTAGAGCCCTGACAATTGTTTTTTAAAGTCTTCAGCGTTTATTTTGAAAAGTAGATCTTAGGTCTTTTCTTTCCCTTTCGTGACGTCGGTAGCCTAGTGGTTAGGCTACCGAACTCGTAATCGTGAGATTGCAGGTTCGGGGGTTCAAGCCTCAGCTTGGTCCGACGTTGTGTCCTAGGGAAAGGCACTTTGTACGAATCTCCCGTTTGGCTTAGTCCTTTCGGAGATGGAATCATGAAGTTTGTTATGCTGTGGGATTGGAATGGGCAAACTGCTCCTTTGCCTACGCTTGTACATACCTGATCAAATATGAATGGAAAAAATATGAACAGATAGCAATATTGACAAAATCTATTCGGTGTTTCATGTGACTGATGACCTCGAACACGCACACCCAAACCCAATAAAGTTGTCACGTTTTCAGTCAACTTGGCTTTTGTTAGTTGACTATATAGACAAACAATAGTCTCATGCAAGAAAAATATCAGTGCGTATGCTCAAAAATCTTCTTTTGAAAGGAAACTATCATGTCACCTGTCACACGAGACACCATCTAGATAGTCATTCATTTGGCCGTTTTCTCGCGAAAGGTCGATAAAAAGTATCCCAAACTTGTCAGTTCTGGTGGAGCACATGTTTCTCTCGTAAATAGAAGCAACGTTTGTGCCGAACGAGGCGCTATGGATGTTGAGTTGCAGGAACGCAAGATAGGTTAAACTTTAGTTTAAACTTTTTTTCTTTTAAACGGTTTGTGTTATTTGATTTTCAGTTAACAGGCGAGCACCCGTGGGGTACCTGGTTCGATCATGTGCTCGCAGCAGAACAGTATCTCCAGGATAATCCAGACTGTCGTTGTTTTGTGCTGCAGTACGAGAAGATGAAAGAAAACGCAGTTGACGTCATTAAGCAGCTATGCCACTTCCTGGGTCAACCCGAGGCCAAGGCTGAAGACATCGCGCAACGCACTAACTTCCGGGCCATGGCGGAAGGAATGCGAGAAAAGCATGAAAACCAGGTCAAATCTTTGTTAAAGGAGGGAGAGGCTTTCCTTGTGAAGGGAGAGATCGGTGGGTGGAAGAGGTACTTTACCGTGGACCAAAACGAACGATTCAACAGCATGTTTGAGGAAAAGATGAGAGGCTGTAAGCTGGCAGACAGTGTCAGGCCTTATTTAAATTGACCAGGACGTATGAGTATAATTAAAAGTGAGGATAAAGTTTCTGACGCCTTATGTTTTCTGCACTCTTCCCTTGCAAGAATGTCTTAATGAAGTCAGTGTCCTGTTTCGAAGCGCTTGCCGCACGCATCTTGTTTCTTCCATTTATTGATTACGTGAGATTTCTTGCTCTTCTTAATTCTTTCAGAATGCTTTTTTTCTTTCCTCTGGGACATCCCCCCCCCCCTTTTAAGCTAGTTTGGCTCTGTTAGGCAGAGTTGAAGCCCGCCTCCTAGATTGTCTAAATTGTGTCGATGGGGGCTTATATACATACATTTAAAAGGAATGCTTTTATTTTGTTTGTATCGGTCAAACTAGCCCTGTGTAACCTCTAGAAAACCTTATCGTTGCTGCCTCAATGCTTTTATTTATTTTATCTTCTTCAGAAGTGACACTCGACAAAACAGTACACACAAATACTTTTAACAAACATTCAGTAAGAATGAAATATAATGCATGAAAAATGTCAAATGCAAGATTTCGTAGTCTTTATTTTTGAACGATTCGGAAAAAAACTGAACACAGTAGAAGGTTTTCCATAACGATATAACTACATATAAACAAAGGTTGAAAAGCGAGAAGACGGTCGCCAATTCCGAAGAAGGTACACGTAAGCCACGCCCTCTTGGAAGGCCAAGGTCATCTCCCTTAACGCCTAACACTGCAGGTTATTGTCATCAAACCCTGTGGGGAAAATGAAAAACATTACGGTTATTGTTGTGGTAAACAAAACATTTCATTAAACGCATGTTTGTCGTCTTATCAACATATTTATTATGAAAAAATAACCTACATCTATCCATCCATCCCTATCTATTTATCTATCGCTATCTATCTATCTATCTATCTATCTATCTATCTATCTATCTATCTATCTATCTATGTCTGTCTGCCTGTCTACAAGTACCCTACAAGCACCACCAGCTAGGAAGAGGGCGTCTCTCTCCCCTCCCCCTCACCTGGGTGTCCGGTAGCGCAACTGGCACTCACGCTTGGGGTCACCGAGCTCCTGCCCGTTAGTGCGACCGTCCCCGTTAGAGTCCTTACGACACAGTTCTTCGCTCCGCTAGGAAGATGGAGAAACGAATAATCAATGAGGTTACACCAAGCAAAGAAAACAAAAAATCAGCAACAATAACAAGAAAGAAGCAA